GGATGCATGCAGAAAAGAGGGTACATTTATCAGTACATCCAGCAAGGTGGCATGGCTACTGGCTAGTGTCCTAAAGGACCTGTCATCCACATCCTGTGCTATCTGTGCATATGAGAGGAGGTGAGGATCAGGGTCTCATTAGGTGGGTGACCTTACCTTCCTTTGGTGATGGAAAGGGCATGTGTGACATTAGCTTATCCAGGCTGACCAGAAAACTCCTGACTGGATTTCTGGGAGAGGCTGAAACTGCAATTAGGTTAGGCATTCAGGCCTGGTTTGGTAATGTGGCCCAGAAGTGACCCCATGTTGAGCCTCTGTCTTTCTTCTTTTTAACATCTGTTCTATTTACTCACAGACCCAGGCTTGTAGAGCAGTGAGCTTGCCAACAGGAACCGACAGAACAGTCACCGATGACATGAATGATTTCCAAGGCTGTGCTGCTGAATTTGAGTCATTACCACCAGCAAACAGCACCACAGCCACACAACTGGTAAGTGACATGAACAATGTTGAACAAGTTGGAATGGCCAAAGGCACTAGACTGCACTCCAGGGTTCACTTCCCAATTTCAAAACCACCACCCTCATCTCCAGTGGACATGGGAGGCCCAAGGCTATGGTGGGCCTGCCCCCAACCAATGACAAGGATGGGTGGCAGTGGCTCTGCTTAAGGGGATTGCTCAGATTCAGAAGAAACTGGGGTATAAACACCCACCCATGACTCTGGCATCTGGCCTCTGCTATGCAGCCTTTTGGCCTTTAATCATACAAACTGCTGGAGTGGCAGTGCCTGCTGTTCTGAAACCCCCTTCAGAGGAAACATCTGCAGTAGGGTTCAAAGGGCAGAGGCAGTTGCTCAAAGGAAGTTGGGATTAAAAGAGATGAAAAACAAACTGGGCGGGGGCGGGGCACAGAGCCTGTGGAGGTGAGGGGGAATACAGCAGAGAGAACTGAAGTGGGCTTTCTCCTCCCGACTGCAGTGAACGCGAGTGACAGTGAGCACAGGAAAGAACAAACATTTGTTCAGCCTACTGGTAGGCTCTTTGCCAACTGGTTCCACAGGAGACTCAGGAGAAGGCCTAGGCCAAGAAGGCCTGATCACCAACGAGAGCAGAGCCTGGGAGCTGCCGACAGCTGCCAGCTTCCCACAGACCTGGCCGGGGCATGAAAATACCCATTCTTTGCCTGGGTGAGATCCTATTTCACTTTGGGAAAAAACAAGAAAAGTGCTCCAAGGTATTAGCACTGTTCAGCATCAAGAGCTGGGGTACAGGAAGGCTGAGGAGCCAGGGTTTCCTTAAAATCATCCATTAACCAGGCACGCTTATTTTTTTATCTTTTACACTGATTGTTTATCAGGCACTAAATCCATTCAAGAACACATATCAATCCACCCAGAGCCCAAGTCTCTAAAGAGCCCTTCCCACTGCACTTCAGCTTCTCCTTCCACGACAGACTTGCAAGGCCAGCTCTCTGCCCCCCAGCACCTCCCTCATTAACTGCAAGCCAAGCTCGGTGGGGCTGCGTCCCCGAGAGGACGAGGACTCACCTAACACATTTCTGGAGGTGCTCCCAAAGTTCACATTCCGGTGGGAAGATCTGGCTACTAAACAACCCATTGCTTAGACAAAATATTCAAAGACGGTGATGCATATTATGGAGGAATATAAAGCAGAAACAGGGAGGGGGGTTTGCAATTCCATTTAGGCCTTGCAGGGAAGGTGACTTTTCAGTAAAAACCTATGCATGTATTTTGCTCACATATGGTTCTTTATATGAAGTAAAAGACAGAAAGTGACAAATCAAAAAGAAAATTCCATGGTATGAAAGTTGTATTCTGGTTCCCTAAGTCAAGAGCTTTTCTTCCTGTTCCCCACCCCCAGGGTCACTTCCCCTCCCACTGCCCCCTGCCAATTTTGGAAACACTCCCAACCCAGAGTCCTTTTTTTAGCAACACTGAAAGGCCTGAGCAATTCACTGCTTGGAGGAAAAACCTCTATTGGATGACATGTCAAGTGATTTTGCTTCCCTTGCCACAAGGGACATTTTTTTTTTGGTATCATTAATCTACAATTACATGAGGAATATAATGTTTACAAGACTCCTCCCTTCACCAAGTCCACAAGGGACATTTTTGATTGTCACAGCTGGGTGGAGGGCCAGTATTACTTTTCACAACAGAGAATTATCAGACTCACAATATCAGTAGTTCCAAGGTCAGCAAATCCCTGATTTAAGGGAATTGATGTTGACCTAAAATGTCTAATTCAGCATCAGATAACAAATGAGTTAGAAAAGGTTATCTCCTCTAATTTAAAATACTGACTAGAATGTATATGATAAAATTCAACTTAGCCTCCAGTGGTCACAATAAAATGAGATTCTTATGTCCAATGGAGATCAATTCCTTCAGTTTTGAAAGAAGGTCATAAAGTTACTGGGAGGAAAGTGGGGAGAGACTACATAACTTGAAAATTATACTTTATGTTCCATTATCCTTCCTGTGAAAAGAAAAACGTCAAATGGAAAAATTCTCTCCTCAAATGAAGCAACCAGATCTAAGTCTGGAGCAAAAAGTTACTCCTCAGGCAAAACCTGACAAAAGCAGAAGCAGCCTCCATACAACGCATGCCACAAGCTCTGGCAAGACTCCCAGAATGCGCTGCACTCCGCAAGACCCTGTGTCTTCACACCGGTGGTTCCCCCTGCCTAGAAGGCTATTCACCAAAGACACCGTAGGTACAGGAGCCTCGGCCCTACAGCTTTGCAGAAGCCTACACCTGCCTCTGGGCCGTCCCTTATTGACTTCTCAGCCCCAGAACCAGGCCTGTACACAGCAGGCAATCCACAGCACCGCGTCAGCACGAGTGATTACCAGTGCGGAGTAATGCCACATCAAAGACAGGTCTTCTTAGTGGAAACTCACCTGGGGCCTAACTTATTTCTTAGGTCATTTTTCAGTGTGGGATAGATTTGCCCAAGTGAACTGTCAGGATTCTCAATGTATTGCTTCAGGTCATGGGAAAAGTGCTGCTTCACATAGTACTGAAGAGAAAAGCAGTATTAGGAATTTTATAATCAATTTTATGTGCACTAATGGATACTGCAGCGAAGAATAAGGCCAGAGAGATCTGGCTCCACAGGAGCATGCTGTTTACTCAGAGGGTGTGCCGACACCGTAACTCTGGTGGTGATGGGGCCCCTTTTAAAAAAGGCACACAGCCTCTTCAAGCCTGTCCAGAAGGGGCACACAGGTTTACACAGGTCTGGTTATTTAGTTATAGATGTGGCTCAGGTTGCGCTTGAGTGAAAGGGGCCAGATAAAAAGACTACAGACAGCTGGATTTATAAGACAATCTTGAAAGGGCAAAAAGACAGTGTCAAAAAGCAGATCCATTTCCAGGGTGGTTTCCAGGTTTCCAGGGATGGGAGGAATGGCTGTAAAAGGACCACGAGGGAACCTTTTGGACTGAGGCACATGTTCTATCCATATTTATGATTTTGATGAGTTATACAACTGTATGCATTTACCAAATTTCACTGGACTGCACAATTAAATTCAAGAACTATATGTTTGCTAATTATATGTCAACAAAGCTGCGAAAGTAAATTCAATACACAATTTTTTTTTAAGTTAAGGCTCAGCCAAGTGAGTGGACTGTGGTGAAGTCCAAGCTTATGGGGAACCATGTAGTTTCAGACCCACATTCCCTCCTAGTGCACATTCCTCTGAATAACTTCCATATCTGTCTTGTCGTCTGAATAGCAATAGCGTCTCCCAGACTTGTTCATTCTGGGACTCTTTTAAGCCTCAACAACTGCAATCAAGATGTGAAACAACAGGCATTGCTTGTGTACTCTGGACGCAGTATAAAGGGGAGGCAACAGGGTGAAGCAGAAAGTACACTGAGCTTTGACTCCTCAGACACAAAACCTAGCCTCAGTTTTGTTGCTCATCAATTGTTTCCTTGAGCTGATGCCACCCAGCCAAACAGTGTACAGCTCTACTGTTTGCTTTACCTTGTGCACCTTTAGTTTCCTCATCTGTGAAAGCAGAAGTTCCATTAAGTGTCTAATGTCTACCTCTTCAGTCATTTTATCAATTCAGCAAACATTTGTGAGGATCCACTTATTGGGCATTTAAAATAAAAACAGAGTGTGAAACAGGCCTGCCCTGCCCGGGAAGATCTTGTAGTCCTGGAAAGCCTTCTAAGGTTGGGTGAGCAAGGGCAACACAGCTCCTGCCTGGCCTTGTCTCTCCCTCTCTGTGGGCATTGATTCACTCTTGGTACCTGGCCACCACGCTGTGAGGAAGGCCAGGCCACAGGGAGGGCTGGTGGCCTATCTTGCCTGATGGTGCCCACTGAGAGCCAGGCTCAGCCTCCAGAAGCGTGAGTGAGCATTCTGGTGGCTGCGCCACTGCCCGAGAGACCCTGAATAACCTTACCTTCCTGTGTCCCCACTACACCCAGAACTATGAGAGCGAATAAGAAAAGGGTCAACCTCTCCTCTGGGCATCTTGAAGACAGAGGCTAATAGCTATTTCCATGCCGTCACAGGAATCTGGAGGGCAAAATTACTTCTGAAATCTCTGGGCTCCCTGTCTGCTGACAAATACACAGGCCACCCCATTTGTACCCTAGCACTAAGGGCTCTCCCTAAATGCTGGGACTCACAGTGAGGTGGCTTGTAGAGCCCTTTCTGCTGACCCAAACACGGGCACTTCCACAATGACCAGGCAGGTCTACTCTTGGTTCTGCTCCTTAAAGTCCTTCTGTTACCCTGACTTCAGTCCACGAAGTTTCCCTTGACCTTATTAGGCGCTCTGTCCAGGCCGCGGCCTCTCCTGCTGGCCACCTGGAAGGGCTGTTGGGGACAACGACCTACGGCGCCCGAAGCCCCGCTCGGCCCCACCCCGGGCCAGCCCCCAAGCTCAGCGGTCGGCCGTGCAGGTCCGGACCCCGAGCCCGCGCGCCCTGGGGACTCGCGAGGGCCGCTCACCTCGGGCCGGATGCGCTTCTGCAGCAAGTGCTCCAGGTAGAGGTCGGAGAGCGCCGTGCGCATGCTGCCTCCTGCCTCGCCCTCGCTCGCCTTGAGCGTCATCGGCCAGAAACCGGGCCGCGGGCCGCGGGCACACAGACTCGCGGCGAGCGGAGCCGGAACTGCGAGCGCCGGCGGCCTGCAGGGCGGCGGAGGCGGCGGGGACGCGGCGCGCTGCTGCCCGTCACGAGCCCGCCGGCAGCGCGCCCCGCCCCCGGACCCGCCCCCGGACCCGCCCCCGGACCCGCCCCCGCCGGCGGGAATTCAAACGGCAGCGGGTCCGCGGGCCTCCAGCTGGTGGAGCAGCCCGCCCTGTCCGTGGCCGAATTCGTGGGAAAGGCGGGAAGCCTCCCCTTCAACTCCAGGCCCCACCCAGAAGCGCTGCGCCCACTGGACGTTGCGAAACTGCCTGCACCGCGGGTAGCCTGCCATCTACATTGCTGCGTGCAGTTCCTTGATGAGAGACCTGATTGCCTCCAACAGCAGCAGCGAGCTGTTTTTCTTGCCTTAGGCCACGTGGCCTCTCCTGCTGTTTAACGCCACAAAAATGATCTAGGATCGGTGGAAGCAAAAGGAGTGGATGTTCCTTAGGTGCAGCAGGATTCCTTAGCATCCCCGCGCCATGGTGGCGTTAAAACAGTAGTCGAGATGATGGGAGAAAATCCAAGGCCAAGAGTTTAGAGCTGAATAGTCCACTTTTCTCTGCTAAGAAGCTGAGCTCACATGACTGATTACCCTAAAGGGACTATGAAAGGCAGAGAGAGCGCCACGGCTGTGAAATTATGGGATAGATTACAGCATGCAGAAACATACCCTTGCACGTATAGAACTGTGGTATGTTATAGAGGTGGCAAATTAAGTAACCAAAGAGGCACTTTTCATTAACTGAACACAGAAAATAGTAACTTATATTGAAAGATGAAATTTAAACCCTCCCCCATGCCGTATGCAAAAAACAAAAAAAAATTTGTTCCATATAGATTAAGGACTTAAGTGTCAAAACAACTTTAAAGCTCTTGAGAAAAACAGCAAGGAACTTTGAGGCTTTGCGATAGAGAAAGATTTCTTAATACAGACAAACCATTGACTAAAACACAATATCGGTAACTTTGACTGTTAACATTAAGAACTTGTATTCATCAAAGGACAAAGTAAAAAGAGAAAAGAGCACATGTGCATTAGGAGAAAATACTTTCAACACACATGAGTGACAAACGATTCCCATTATGAATATATAAAGAACAACAAATCAAAACGAAAAACACCAATTATCCAGGAGAGAAACATGTAAAAAACATGAATCAACATTTAAAAGATGGAGAAACACATGTGACCAATAAAGCTAATGAACAAATGTTCAGCCTCATCAGTGATCAGAGGTGTGCAAGTCAGGACTACAATGGAATACCACCACTGTACCCCATATAGTTATTAAAAATCAACAAGTCTAACAATATCAAGTACTGGAGAGGATGTGAATCTATATGAGTTTCTGAACATTGCTGGTGGGAGTCAAAATTGATACAGTAGTTACAAAAACAGTTCTCCATTATCTCAGAATTGAACATGCATCTACCCTCTGAGCCAGCAATTATACTCCTAGCTCTATATATCCAAGAGAAATTCTTGAATATATACAACAGAGGACATGTTCAACAATGTTCAAAGAAATACTTTTGTTAATAGCAAAAACTATCAACGATCCAAATGCCCATCGACTGTAGGGTATTCACACAAAAGAATATTACTGAAACAAGAGGAAAACAAATCAGAAACACATAAATATAGAAAAACCCTTCCTTCATCCCCTCCCACTCCCCAGAGGGAACAACCTTCCCCAGTTCTGTGTGTCACCTTCCAGTCCTTCCTCTATGCACATACAAAATATTCATAACTAGAGTTGCCTTCTCTGTCCAGATAGAGAAATCATAGTGTGCATGGCCTTGCTCCTTCTCACCTGAACCATTTTTCCTTTCCCCACCTCCCCGTGAAGCAGGTCTCTTCTGAAAAAGAAGTCAAGAAGACCCCATGGATGCCATACCATAGAAACTACAGATAACCAAACTGGACCAAAAACTTCAGGTATTGGAAGTCAAGATAAGCTTAATATTAGAAAATTTATTACTCCAATTTATACATTAACAGAATAATGAGAAAAATCCTGTTATCTCAATAGGTGAAAAATACACAATGCAATTCAACATCTATTCGTGGTAGTAAAAAAAAAAAAAACACTTTTAACAAACTCAGCATAGAGTTTGTTATCCTTAACCTGAATTCTAAAACATCCTTAACCTCAATTCCAAAAGTTATTTTTAAAAAGCTACAACAAATATACTTAGTGGTAAAAAGCTGAATATATTTCCTTTAAGATTTTAAACAAGACAAGGATGCCTCTGTAACTACTTTTTCTTCACACTGTGTTATAAGTCCTATCCAGCACAGTAAGGTTTTAAAAAAAAGCTATAAACATTGGAAAAGAAGAAACAAAATTGTCATGATCTGCAGATACTTCATTATTCATAGAATATTTAAATATCTACAAATGATAAATGGTTAAAATGAATAAGCCATATTAGTAAGACTGTTGGCTACCATCATTATACAGAAACCAACTGTATTTCTCTATACCAATAACACATAGAAAATGAAAATATAACTTGAAAAGATACCATTCATTATGTCATCTAAAATGATTGAATACCTGGGAATATATCTTACTCTACATACTGTATGGAGAGAATTACAAAACGCTATTGGAATCCATTAAAGGAGAGCTAACATGTAGAGAGAAATGTTTGTGGTTTTTGGAAGCCTCAACTTTATGAAGATGTGAGCTCTCCCCAAATTTTGGCCTATAGATTCAATACAATTCCAATAAAAATTTTAACAGATGATATGTTTTGTGAAACTTGACAGTCTAATTTAAAAATATGTGTGGAATTGTAAAGAGTAGCAAAAGTACCCCCAGAAGAACCAGGTCGAGGGACTGGCCTTCCAGATAGCAAGATCTGTAATAAAGCTATGGTAATAGAGTGTGGTTTAGGCCCAGAAACAGGCCACTAGACCAATGGACTAGGAGGGAGACTAGAAATGGACTCGTGCATATTTAGACCCTTAGTAACATAACAGGTGGCATCGCAGAGCTGGAAGGAAAGGACAGACTTGTACTAAGTGGTACTGGGCATGTTGCAAGGGCCCATATTATCAAACCAGAAAGTAGGACTGGTTCAAAGACAAACACCTTATCCAAACCACTGCAGTTGGAAGAATTTCAGAGAGAGCGACTCCTTGAGCAAAATTTAGTTCAAGTTTGCACTGAGGCAAGGCTTGTGGTGGAAAAGTACTGGGAGAGCCAGTCAGCCGACTCAGAGGATGGATGTGTTTTTTCCAAAGTTCCCATGCCTTTCTCTGGGCAGCCAGTTCCAGTCCAAGTGCTCATTGCTCAGAATCTGAGTTTGCTCCTCGGAATTTATTGCTTCTTGGAATTTATTGCAACTATCTGCTTTTCTCAATTCCTAGAACTGCCTGTAGGCACAGAAGTTCAGCTCAAAGGTCATGGGTGGAAAACTATAGCTTCTCACAATATTAAAAAAATGAAATTGGACTCTACTTCATACCATATGGAAATGAATTCTGAGTACCTAAAGGACTTAAATGTCAAACACAAAACAACAAAACTTTTAGAAGATAATGTCCAATGATTTAAAAATGATTTAAATGTCCAACCTGATTTAAAGCTTACTGGAAGCTGATAAATCACCTGGTCACTTTAGGTTTGATAAGAATGATGGTCTCCTGCTGACATGTGGGAATGTGGGCCAGAGTGTATGGCTTATACTACCCTAAAGAGTGACATTGGCCCCCCACCTCAGCTTGCAAGACAGAGCTGGCACCACTGGTGTCCATAGGGATGTTTCTTTTGTCCCCTGTTGGCCTGTAGTGCAACCTGTGGTCTTCTGGTTTGAGCAATGTTCTCAGTAGCCTCTGTCAGCCTTCCACCTAACTTTGGCTGCCTTAATGGGCTTACCTTGTCACACAGGCCACACAGTAGACCAAGTGGCCTGTACAGCTTGCGGGATTTCATGTTAGTATCAATGAGAATGTTACTTCAGTCTTCCTTTCTCTTTGCATTTTCCATGTAGTAAATTCCTAATTTCCTGCAGTTTCCCCCCAGCTCAATAAATGACCAGTCCATACACAGCTCAGGCTACAAGCCAGGAAGACATCCTTAGGCCTCCCTCTCCTCACACCTCAGCCAACCCAGACTCAAATCCTGCAGCTCTGCAGCTCCCCACTTCTGTCCTTGTTTCTCTACAATCTCAACATGGCAGCTGAGCTGACCCCTTAAAAAGACATCTATCAAATGATAGCCCTTCTGTACGCTAAACCTTCTATTGGTTCCCTTATAGCCCCCAGGAAGAGCCCAAATCCTTTCACTGGCCCACAAGGCCGTACTCTGCCCCTCCCTTGCCTCTGGTTTCTTTGCAGCTACTGGAACATCCCCGCCGCACCTCCTGCCTGGAGAGCCCGCCCGCTGAGTGAATGATCTCAGATTCAGAACAGCAAAGGGGAAAAACAAATTAATTTGTAAAACTATCACCTGCATTACACTTATAAGAGTGAACAAAGTAGAAACATCCTAAATAATTATTATATGGGGGGGCTGTTAACCCACTTAGGTCACATCCGCCACAACACCTACAATCATATAGATATGTATATTTACTGACAGGGAAAAATATCCAAGATCTGTCATATATGAAGAGAAAAAGTAGGCTACAAAATAGCATGCACACTATATTTTGGTAAAAGAAAAAGTATCCATGTGAACAAGTTTCTGTGACTATGTGCAAATCAGCATTACTCAAAGAGTGGAGGATAATGCCCCCCCAAAAATCCATGATCAAATATGTTTGGGATATGCTGCATTTTATACCCTCTCGTGACGATTCATGTTAGTCTGTCAAAGGCTTTTAGAAGACTTGGAGCAAGGGAACATGTTCAAATTTGTTTAATCCAGCATCTCTCAAACTTAATTGATCACAGAGCCCTACTGTCCCATTTATTAAAGCAGAAGCATTGTTTCACAAAACAGATTTTGGGAAACTGGTAATACAAGCACAGAGAAAAAGTTTGGAAGGAGATACACAAGCTGTCACATCTTGTACAATAGGAT